CTACCACTACCACTACCAGTACCAGTACCACTACCACTACTACCACAACGACGACTACTACTACTTCTGCGCGCTGCCATCACTACTAGGGCGGCGACTGCGACGACGACGAGTCAGTCTTAAGAGTCCTGAAGCCACCACAGTCGTCGTAGTGCTGAAGGTCGCAAGTGTTCCGACTGTGCTTGTTCTATTACTTTCAGACCCAGCCGTGAGCTTTGAAGGAGCCAGCAGGGGATGCGGACGGTGAGGCCCGGGACCTGCTCAAATGCAACAGGTGAAAGATCTCTAAGTCGTGCCAGTCAGAAAGGAGCTCACCAAGTAGGACCCTACGGAGGTCGGTGCTCAGGTGAAGAGCGTCTTTTCAGGATATTTTCGGCGCTGATGGGTGGGGTTCCAGCTGCAAGAGGCAAAGGGGTACAGGGTCTCGCTTGCACGTGGCTCCTCGAGTACAGGGTGCTCACTTCACAGTAAGACGAGACAAACCCAGCATGCGGAAGCAACGCTTTCAGCTATGGGGAACGTATTTGCAAGAAGGTTGTAGTGGGAAGCAGCCCCTGTCAAGTGTGCTGACCAGGCATCGCCGACGTCCCGCTTTGGAGGGGCTGCGACTACCGAGGTGGGCAAACTTCAAATTTCCCCGAAACTACAGGAACTACAATGCATCGGCTACAAATCGGATTTCGGCGCCTGAACTGTAGCCTTCTCCAGGGTGGTGACGAGACCCACACGGAAGGCTGGAGACTTGAATTGTGTTCGTAAGGGTCGATAGTCCCTACAAAGGGGTCTTCGGAGGTTGAAGGAGGTGTCTGTGGAAATGTGAGGTAGAATTTGGACTAGCAGCGTTGGACAGAACACGTACACATCGGGGTGTTTGCTTGCTTGCAAGCTCGAGCGATCTCTTGTGCCGTCCAGATCTCTCACTGTTTTTGAGATGTGACCGCGATCAGCACCAGCCACAAGTGACCGCACCAATTCCGGTGGAAACCGTTTGTAGAAGTGTTGTGGGCATCCGCTTCGAGGTGATGACAGCCCTTCCGACAAGGCTGGAGATATTGTCCCGACGATGCTGGGCTTCAGGGAACAATCTTGCCGTGCCTGAAGCTCGCAGTCGTTAAGACCAGCATCTTCCAGCAAATGGCAGGTAGTGAGGAGACAGATGGTGCACAGGCCGAGCTTGGTGTGTCTCTCTTTTCTTGCCGACGTGGTCGTGCTCGTCTGTCCACGGTTCGGGCTTTCGTCCCAACGGAGGCAAGCTTCCAAGGAGATCATTGAAGGTATCCGACGGAAGCGAAGCACATCGCCCGGGGCCTAGCTACTTTTCGCTTCGCCCGACCAGGCCCTACCGACTCTAATCCAGGAAAGCCGCTGCACATAGATGGTTTGTAAAGATAGTCGGCTGCTTCCCATTCATGCCTTGCTTGCAAGTTCAGGATCCAGTCATCAACTCACGACGATGACGCGCAGGATAAAATCGATGCAGAAGAAGCCAGGCGGGACGAAGCAGGATGACTTGATGTGAACTCAGTTTGGCCCTTACTTTCTGCACTATCTTACTACATTTGTACCGTACTACACACCTTCCTATACTACAGTATACGGTACTATACTTCACTATATATTGCTGAACTAAAAATACAAAAACCAGTTCGTGAGCTCCAGGTGGCGGATTCCTGCCAGCTTCTTCTACGACCCAAGCTCTCCAGAGCTCAACCCGCCTTTGGAGGACGCCTCCAGGGCTTTAGGGCTTTAGGGCTTCAGGGCTTAGGGTTTAAGGCTTTAGGTTTAGGGCTTTAGGGCTTTAGGTTTAGGGCTTTCGGGCTTAGGGCTTAGGGTTTAGGGTTGGGATCTCCATAGCGCGACTGGCTGCGTCGGGCTGTTGTTCGGAATCGGTTTATACAATCTGGAGGAGTTGATAGCAGAGGGACTGTACTATACTATGCAGACTATACTATACCCTGCTCTACTTTACTCCATACTACTCCACCCTACTATACTCTACTGATACTATTCATAAAGCCGTCGCCTTTCTCTTCAGCTTCCCTGTAAAAGGATCGAGAGTTACCGCGGCAAGGGACGCGAGCAGCTCGCTTCATGGGCGGGAGCCTGAGATTGAAGCATCCTGCCATGTTGGGCAAAGTGTCCCGGGACCAAGAGCTGTGACGAAGGGCTGTCAAGGTGAGTGTATAGTGTCGTCTAGTACAGTATAGTATAGCCTGCTACAGTATGGTATAATATAGTATAGTCTGGCATAGTATAGTACAGTATAGTACACTGTAGCATAGTATGGTATAGTCTGGTATGGTATGCTTGAGGCTTTGACTTCAGCCGGATCAACAACGCAGTCTGGACCTCAAACGAGGACTGGCGTCCGCTGTTGCAACGCCTCCCTGCTTGGTGCTGTGGGCTCCTGCCAGGAGTTTGCGTACATCACCGGCCACGTGGTTTGCTTCATGAACATACGCAACGCGGCCGCATGCTGCTCACGGGCGCATGAGTCATGCAAAGAGCAGTGGCCGTGCTGAGATACTCGCCAGCGACGCTTCCTCCACGGTCGTGACAATGGCGGTATTGGCGCCGTAGCGGTGCAACCCGGGGAGGGAGACGGGCGTACATAAGCTGAGCTTTGAATACATTTGTCCGGAAGCACGAGACATCGGATAGACCAACCAATGCTGCATGACGAGTCTTGGAGTGACTTGACACGCTTTAGCGTTGTGGTGAGCCGGTTTCCCTGCCAGATGTCACCTGACATGACGTATTTCGCAGTGGCTGAGAGAAGTATCACTTCGCAGCCAAATGCCACAAGCTCAGCTGCAGCTAGGCCACTTACAGTCGTGATCTGGGGTCTCCATTTGGCATGAACTTCTTTCCGTGTCTTTCAGCAGTGCCTCATGTGAACAGAGCCAGAACTCTGTCATTGCATCTCGATTCTTCGTCTGGCGGAAATATGCTTCGAGTTCGAGGTTTACATCTACTCGTTCAAAACGATGAGGCCGGGGCAGCACGGCACGTTCCTCGACAGCATGTGCACGGGAACCAAATTAGGCGAACATTGCTGGTGCCGGCATGTCCAATGGTGCTGCAGCCCTTTAGATGCACGAAGGCGAACCGATGCGCTCGTTGGCCAAGGATCGCCAATAGTTTAGCCACGGTTTGTCAAGTCGGACACAATCAGCGCCTGTCTTACCCTCGACGAGAGAGCTGCAGGCCAGACGTGCGATTTACACGTTTGCAAGAAGCGCGGGGCAAGCGTCCGCCGCCATGGAGCCGACAGCGGCAGCGGCGGGAGCCCCGTCCCCGTGCGCTCTCCGAGCTGCCTCGCCATGGACGGGGAGAACGACACCCTCGGCAACGAGACCTTCTTGGACGTCCAGGAGGAGATCGAGGAGGAGATAGTCAGCGAAGGCTGTAGTCAGAATGTTTTCTTGGGACTGGGAGCTTCGTCCACCTTGCAGTTTTTTTCCCACATTTCCTGCCTTCTGCCGTGAAGCCCGAAACCTGTCTCGCCAGACCTTTGTTCTGCCCTGGGAATCTACGCCGTCCACCGCTGCTCGGCACCGCGTGCTGGCCGTACGTGTGCAAAGGCGCTCTTGAGGACGCACACGTAACCAAATCTACCGAAAATACCATGTTTTTGTAGCTACAAAGTACAGTTCTGACTTGCATCGCACCGCGGTGAGGAAGCACATCCTAGGTTTTAGCAAGCTCTGACAAAATAGCAACCATTGAGCGTCGTCACATCGAGGTTTCAATGTAGGAATCCGGACCTGGCATGCGGGGATTTGCCTGCCATGCTTCAAGGCGACACTGTTTCACTTTTTGGAGGCCTGCGTTGAAGCCTACGTCTTAGTTTGTTATTCGGCATTGCAGAGCAATACAATTACAACAATGGTCGTCTCCCTCACGATTCGATTTGCAAGTGTGTGGACGAGGCAAGTAAACCGTGCCGAAAGCATCAGCATCTGTGAGATTTTGTAAGGCCTTGAAGCTTCTAGCAGCACAGACAAACACGTAGAGTCCACACTGGTGTTTAGGACGAGGGTTTTCTGTTATGTGTTTTCCTGCGTGATGTGTACTTCCTCGAATGAGCGTCCACACGGGGCTGAGCTGTATATCCGTGCTGCAATGTCTGGTGAAATCTTTCGTGCTACACAGAGCATCCGCACGAAAACTGCTGGACCCACAGTGACAAGGGGTTTTTATAATGCTGCAGAGCTGTCTTGTCGTTATCACATCGCTTTGTTGCAGCACCATCAAAGTCTGCACTCGGACCCTCTCGGCAAGCAAACGCACGCCGGAATGGTTTTTTGAAACATTTTTTGGGTCGGGCTTCTTGAGTCCATGGTCGAGTTTGTTGGTAGACCTCGCAGGCATATCTGCCGCCTTCTGCCGGGCAGACGCGCTGCAGATGGAACGACAGGTTTTGCTCGGGAATCACTCGTCTCGAGGGCGAGGTTTCTGATTGCTTCAGCCGTTCACACAAGCAGGTGCCAAGCAGAGTGCAGAAGGCTTGAGGTTTGAGGCCCTTGTACTAAAGCCATGCTCCGCTCAGCATCTTGGTTTTCTGGTTTCGTGGGGAAACCTGAAAGAGGTGCATGCGCTGCCTTCCGCCCCCTTTGTACTTGAACGACACAGGCCAAGAGCTCACTGTCCCTGGTTTCCATGCCGGCGAGTCTGAAGCTCCACTAAGTCTTCACTAAATCGTTCTGTTCGAGACGGTTGGCTATCCGACCGAGCCCTTGCTGACACTTTTTGCACGGTGGTCAAGCTTCGTCTGTTTGGGGGTGGGCTCGGCCTTCCGTCTGGGCCGAAACGCACCAGAAGGTTTTCAAGACGAGAGCTCGAGCAACCAAGAGTGAAGTTGTAGGCTGCAACGTCGACGGTGTCTTCTTCCGGGCGGATGGCAGCTGCCCCTACCCCGTGCAAGGCACTGGGTCTTGTAGTGCATGTCCCTGAACCCTAAACGGGACGGCATCTGCACACCCCAACGGTTCTGGCAGGCGAAGTCTGCAACGTCTGCGAGGAGATCTACCTGCAAGAGGCCATTGATATCCTTTGCAACATGATTTAAAAAGTTGTAATATATTAAAATGCAGCTTGATGTGCGACAACCTGGCATAATATACAAAATTGGTATACTACCCCTCAAACAGCTACTCTGATAGAGTCACAGACTTAGTTATTTCTGAAGGAGGCTACAAGAATTATCTTCGCTCCGACCGCCCGGGGGACACCGCGAGGCTTCCCCAGCATGACAAAACTAGATCATGAGGGCATGGCTTCCGTCGCTGTCATGTCTCGTGTGTTGAAGTGGAAGGCTTGGCTTAGGGGCTTAGTTGTTGACCAGCGCGCTTCTTGTAAAGCACGCCAGCATGTTAAGCGCAGTTCGGACATAGGCGTCCCAAGCGCAGAACTTGCCCAGCGCGCGCGCTTCTTGCGGCATGGATCAAGGGGTTGGGCAAGAGGTTTGGTAGCGTGTCGTGCGTTTTTTTGGAGGACCAAAACGCACAACCGCCACCACTGCGCTTTTCCAGGCCCCCCGAAACGCACACAACAGGAAAAAGCCCCGTGCGTTCTTCCAGGCCCCCAACAGGCACACAGGTCTCCACAACACGAAAAGGCCCCGTGCGTTCTTCCAGGCCCCCAAAACGCACACAACAGGAAAAAGCCCCGTGCGTTCTTCCAGGCCCCCAAAACGCACACAAGTCGCCACAACACGAGAAAGCCCGGTGCGTTCTTCCAGGCCCCCAAAACGCACACAGGTCTCCACAACACGAAAAAAGCCCCGTGCGTTCTTCCAGGCCCCCAAAACGCACACAGGTCTCCACAAAACAAAAAAGCCCCGTGCATTCTTCCAGGCCCGCAAAACGCACACAAGTCCCCACAACACGAAAAGCCCCGTGCGTTCTTCCAGGCCTCCAAAACGCACACAGGTCTCCGCAACAGCGAAAAGCCCGTGCGTTCTTCCACGCCCGCAAAACGCACACAGGTCTCCACAAGACAAAAAATCCCCATGCGTTCGTCCAGGCCCCCATGGGCCCAAAACGCACACAGGTTTCCAAAACACATTATAATAAGAACCCAAGTCAACGCCCACAGGTCTCCGCAACGCATAAAACCCCATTGTGCTCTGCCAGGCCCCCAAAACACACTTGGGACTACTTTGCCAAAGCGCCTCCCCGCCCGTAGAGGTATCTGGCTTGGAAGTAAGACACCCTACACCCTAAACCCTACACAGCTCTTAGAGGAAAGCCTTAAGAAACCTCAGAAGAGGGGGGCTGGGAGTCGCTAAAAAGCTCTTAAAACCCTAAACCCCCAACCCAAAACCCCAGGGTTGAGGGTTGAGGGCTTTAGGGTTTTAGGGTTTAGGGTTTTAGGGTTTTAGGGTTTGGGGGTTTAGGGTATACGCTTTTAGGATTTAGGGTTTAAACCTAAACCCTTATAAACCCTAAACCCAACCCTAAACCCTACCCCTAAACGGCAAACCCCCAAGCCCTTATAAACCCTAAACCCTAACCCTGAAACCCCAAACCCCCAAACCCCTAAACCCTAAACCCTACGTACTTCTATGAGCCGAACCTCTGGCAGACGAGCTACCCGTGCATGCTCAGGTGCCCGATGCGCTTTCAGAGGCTTGCAAAACGCATATCAGGGAGGCCCTCCCCTTCTGAAGCCCCAGCGGTTGGGCCCTTCGCCAGGCTGTGCGTTTCACAGGGCTCTAAAAACGCACAACAGATTGCCCATCTCAATTATAAAGACTCCAGAACTCACACAAGCTAGCCAAGCGCACTTAAGCGCACAACCCTATACACAAGCGCACCCCAAGCGCACCCAAGCGCAAAAGATTGCAAGCGCTGCTTGATATCAACTTAGCGTAGGGGTTGCAGCGCATAATATGACACGATATGATTTGATTTACGGTAATATGCTATAACGTACTACAACATGCTATACGGTATTCTATTGTAATATCTATTGTACATAATTGTTATACTAGTAACTAGAAAACTATGCGCACATCGTTCAGGTCTGCCTGGGGTTGTGCTCGGATCTCTGTATTTGGACGATGCTTGGCACATCAAGCTGGGTCTTGCTTGCTCGCAAGTTAGGTCTCCTTTCCTGTGGAATGCGCTATCCACAAGACTTGATCCGACTAGGAATCGAAGTTTCGGGAAGTGCCCCCCGAGCCGGACTGATCATCGAAGGCAGTTAGACATAGGGGCGGAACTCTCAAACCCAAACCTGCTTTCCAAGCTTCGGGGACTGGGGCTTGCACCTGCATGTCATGACATGTGGAGCCTTTACAGGCCTAAACGTGTAAAGCGGCATGGAGGCAGCTCATTGGAGAATGCGCACTTCGCAATAGCCACATCGAAGCCCAAAGTAACGACAGTGACACAGGCCAGAGCACGAAAGACAATGAACCACGAGGAGTATTGATGACGTTGTATCTAATCCTAACAGTTTTTTTATATGGTGTCTCGTTTGAGCGGACATATCCTATCTGAAAGCCTCATTTGCAAAGGTATGTTTCTGAGTATGCGTCCATGCCTAGGCCCTGGCCTATTTCTATATCTGTATTTATATCTATGTTTGTCTACTTCTCGCCCTGTCTCTAGCGCTCCCTCGAGCTCCGTCTCAGTCTCCATTTCTATTTATGCATCTACCTATCTGTGTATTTATTTATCTACCAATTTACTTGTCTATCTGTGTATATCCATGTATCCATCCGGCTGCCCAATCATCTCTCTGTTCGTGCATGCATACATACATGCATGCATGCATGCATACATGCAGATACACACATCACATTACATTACATCAGGCCGTACATCCGTACATCACATACACATACATACACATACAAGCACATACGTACACATACGCACACATACATACACATGCATGCACATGTACATACACATACATGCATACGTTCATACATACATACATACATACATACATACATACATACATACGTACATACGTGCATACATGCGTGCATCATACATACATATATACATACATACATACATACATACATACGAACATACATACACGTACATAGGCACACATACAAATACGCATACACATACACATAGATACATATACATACATGCGTACATGCATGCATACATATGTATACATATGTACATACATATGTACATACATGCACACATACATACATGCATACATACATACATACATGCATACATATTTTCCTACATACATGCATACATACATGCATACATACATACATACATGCGTACAGATATATACATATACATTTACATATACATATACATATACAGATACATATACATATAGATATACATATACATATACATTCATACGTAGATACGGACATACGGACAGACATACATACATGCATACATACATACATACATACATACATACATACGTACTTGCTTGCTTACTTACTTACTTATTTACTTACTTACTTACTTACTTACTTACTTACTTACTTACTTACTTACTTACTTACTTACATACACACACACGCACACTTTATACACATACATGCACATACGCATACACATACACATACACATATACATATACATATACATATACATAGACATATACATATACATATACATATACGTATATGTTTGCATGCTGCAATGTACGCATGTTGCATGGCATAATTCGTTCACTAATGTATGTGTGTGTGTGTGCGTGTGGGTTTCCATATGTAATGCAACAGTTGGAGAGCAGGTCAGAGAGCACCCAAGAGGCTTTGAACCTTCGTGCCGGGATCCCGCCATGAGTTGAACCATCCGAAGCCTTCGAACCGAGCCAAGGAATCTTTCCCGCTTTCGCGGCGTCTTCTGCACGCTGCGTGATCCCCCACCACCGCCAGATCAAACGATGTTGCTGAGGCGGGCGGAATGGCTTCTTTTCGTGTTGGGGGATGTGTCAAAAGCCGGCTCTGCGGGTCACAACTTGGGAACAAACGCAGTGTTTGCAGCCCGCACAACCTTGCAGCCTCCGGGCATTGTCGCAAACCCCATTCCCAGGATACTGATGATTGGTGGCGGGGTGATCGGCTTTTTCGTCCTCGTGTACGCGTGTCGAGCGCCCCGACAGTCCCGAGACTCCGTCGGTAGCTTCAGTCTCGGATCGTCTTTTGCGGCAGTGGTAGCCCTCGCCACGGGTTGCCGGAGAGCAGGATACCGGAGATATAGTAACCTAAATAGTAGGATCCTTATTATAAGGACCCCTTATAGTTGAACTTAGCGGATCAGAATCGCTCTGAGGTGCTGTGCCGGGGTGTTCTGGCAGCCAGGGAGAAGGCCAAGCAGCAGAGGCTGAAGGCGCCGAACATGAATGTTCATGGCCAGTGGCAGCTACAGAAGGGTATATTGTAGTATGATATCATGTTGAGTTACATATTGAGTTACATATTGAGTTACAGTAGAGTAGAGTAGAGTACAGTCTAGTAGAGTAGTGTATGTTATGTCATGTAATGTTAGGCTAAGTTACGGTGTGTTATGCTATGCTGTGTTATCTTAAGTTATTGTATGTTATGCTATGCTGTGTTATGGCATGCCATATTATGTTTTGTTAGGTTATTGTATGCTTCACTAGGTTGTATTGTATTGTACTATACAGTGTATTATTGTATTATACTATGCTATGCTATGTCATATCCTGTTCTACTACATTATCCGATGTTATTTCGCAGGAACTGCAATGGTCCTCCACAACAAACCGGTATCATTCAGCAGAAATAAGACAGCTCCACGTGACAAGATTCTTACACGAATGTGATGGCAGGAACTCGGAGGGGACGAGGTATGCTGTGCAGCCCCACACACTGTTGTTACCTCTAGGCCAATCCGACACAAGCAACGTCCCCGAGCCGCGAGAGAACACGCAGAGGACCACAGAAGCGGCTCAAACCCTAAACTCTCTATTCTAAACCCCAACCCCCTCAGCCCGCAACCCGAGACTCTCAATCCTTCACTAGTGGGCTCCTTTCCGCTTCAGAGCTTTGGAGGAGCTCCAGAGCAGGGCCAAGAAAGGGAAGCTGGGCACGGGAGCCCAGCAGAACACAAAGTTTCTGCGGCTTTTTGGTCTTTGGGTTCAGGGTTTAGGGGTTTAGGGGTTTGGGGTTGAGGGTTTAGGGGAGGGAGTTGGAGGGAAGCGGCAGATGTACGTTCAGGGTTTAGGAGTTAGACTTGGTATGAGTGTGGGCGGTGAACTTATCTTGGAAAGGTACGCCGCAGATCCCCTCCGGATGTATCCCCTCTAAGATTCTAACTGATAGCAGGGGACACCCAATCAGGATTGTCGTGATCTCTGCATATTCCACAGGCCCGGTTTTGAAGTCGAGCTGAATTAAGCTCTCGTCGTCTTGCGCTGAGGTGCTGCAAAGTCTATGACCACAACAAGACGGGTAGCTACAAGGAGACAGACTTGTCCGTAGTACATGTTGAACGGACACCTTCTCGGTCTTTCCATGATTTCGGCCAGAGGAAAATACAGCATTCCAGGCGTGAGCTGTCAAAGAGACCGTCAGGCTCTTCGAAAAATCACCTTCGGTCACAACATAAACAACACAAAAGACAAACTGGTGCTCCGACCAGCAAAACAGGGCGATCAAGGATTCGCCCAACGGCCAAGGTAGAACTGGTAGCCTTCGCGCTTCGCGGTCCGTGGTCCAGTGGTACATCTTGCCTGCTCTTGCTTCGTTAAAGGAGCGAAACGGCCTTGGACATGCAGGCTGCGGAAGGCCGCGGAAGCAGAGAGAGGGTCCAAGTGCAGCAGTTCCCATGTGGAGGATTTCGGATTCGTGTGCTCTGGGGTTTGGTTTGGAGTTTTGTGACAGAAGTCGTTTATTCATTTACCTAAACGAAAAACCAGCTTCCAAAATTTGCATCGTGTGACGCAAAGCCCGAAACCCAACCGTTAATCTGATCCCTACATTGCTGAGCTTCCAACACTGCAGGTTGTTTTTAGTTATTCTTAAAGTTACATTGTTCATATGAGTACATGTACAGTCATCAATATAGCCAAGGTATCGTTGTTCTTGACATTGTCTTGGCGCATCTTGGTGCTGCTAGTCTGATGATGTTGCTGTCGTGCCTTGTTGAATGACAATAATAGTGGCAGGAAGCACGTTGCTGCGATTCGCGTAGCGAGGCATACGGCACATCGAAGATGAAACGTGAAGGTAAGATTTAGGTTTTTCTTTCGCAACGACACCTTTCTGCACGCCAGCTCAGATCCTAAGCAGAGCTTATATCTGACGACTGGCCGTGACCCAGTAGTGGTGATCATGTTGATCGGCATAAAAAACGTTCACAGTGAACGATGATTATAACCATGAATATGTCAGATTATCACTCTTGTTACTCGCTGTTGCCACTTTACGTTTGACCTAGCTCGTCTTCCTTGCCGTTTCAGGGGTTTCCTTAAGAGTTCCATATAGGTTCCGGGTCGAGGATTGAAGATTCAGAGACCCCTAAACCGTAAATCCCAAACCCAAAACCCTAAACCCCAAACCCTAGGCCCTAAACCCAAAACCCAAAGCCCAAACCCTAGGCCCAAAACCCAAAACCCAAAGCCCAAAACCCTCTAAACCCAGAACCCTTCA